TTATGTTATTGATTTCTATCGGAATTATTATGTTTTGAGACTATGATCTGCATTATTTTTATTCAAAATATACTTTATGGAATATACTTTTTATTTTTTATCTATTTATTAATTTATTTTTCTGGAGACAGAGTCTCGCTCTGTTGCCCTGGGTAGAGTGCAATGGTGTGATCATAGGTTACTGCAACTTCAAACTCCTGAGCCCAAGAGATGCTTCCTGAATACCTGGGACTGTAGGTGTGTGTCACCACACCTGGCTAATTTTTTCTATTTTTGGTAGAGACAGGGTCTTGCTTTTGTTCAGTCTGGTCTTGAAGTCCTGAGCTCAAGCAGTCCTCCTACTTTGTCTCCCAGAGTGCGTGAGCCACCACTTCCAGCCTGGAATAAACATTTTACATTTACATCCTACTAGAAGATTCAAAGAATAATTTTAAAAAATTGAAATTTTTTGAAATTTCAATAATATACATTTTCTTGAATTCAAAATGGCACTATTGACCCCATCTTAAGTGCATTTGATTTGTGTTTTTTTAATAGTAGGTATATTGGATATAGACTGGTATTTGAATAACTTACTGTCTGGCTGTGAAGTGGGATTTTATGTAATTCAGTATTCAAGGTACTGTAAGTTGTATCAAGGTGTTTTGTTGCAATTTAAAAATATTTCTGATAGTGGGCACTATAGTTATAGCTTACCGACAGAACAGTTAATTCTGGGTTACTTAGCTCATTTTTAGGAAGAACCCCTGGCCTTTTTTAAACTTTTAATTTGAAATAATTATAGACTCAATTTACTTTTAAAGCAGTTTTTCTATGTCTGATGTATCACCAGTATATGGCGAATAAGATTCTTTTAAATAGTATTTATTCTATTACCCGAGAGATTTTACTTTTCTTTTATGTGAGAAAACTTTTCTGGAAACAATTTTGGGGTTTCTTTTTTTGGATAGGTATTTGTTAATATTTGTGTTCAGGAAATTGAAAGCAAAGTGAACATTAGTCTTGCCTATTCTCAGGTTTTCAAAAGCTATAATAGGGTTTTCCCCCCAACAGTTTTTCTTTATTGCTACTTTTCAAAAACATCCTCTTTGGTAGCCATACTATAGAAACATTTAGTTACATGCAAATATCTTAGAGGTTGTTAGCATTTTTATAAAGGTTATGGTAATGTTCACCTAACTTAAGGGCAAAACAATTACCTAGTGCTAAATGAGTCAGGATTTCTATTTTAAAATATACATATAAATGCATCTATCACTGCTGAATTAATGCCTTAACTCTGGGGATTTAAAATGTATGATTGCTGTATCGCACATAAGCACCCTGACATGATGAAATGGTACCTGTTACTTAACAATAATTATGTATGCAATTTGGCAGAATAATTTTTTGAAAGGTAAAAATATTTAAAGAAATGTTCTATTTTAAAAGTGAGAATTTGTGTTCTCACAGTATTATTGGGGCTCCTTGGTAGTCTAGTGGCTAAGAATCAGTGCTTTCAAAGTATGAATTATATTATGCATAGCAAGCTTTTACATTATGATACATATTAAACCCACTTAAATGAAGGCTTTATAATATATAATATATAGTAAGGAAAAATGAGTAAGAAAGAGGTACATGAATAAGAAAGAACAGTATTTTAAAAGTAATCTACCTGATATATTTAAGGAATTTGTTTAGGAAAGGTAGGCAAGTTGAAAGGGAACACACTAAGTAGTATATTAGCAAGCTTCCTAAAATGCATAGGCATAGTAATTAGAGGCAGATTGATTTTTAAATGTCATCCAGCTTTTATTCTCTTCCTTCTTTAGCATCTATTTGTGTGAAGGGGTTTATCAAGGGGGGTTATCAAGCTTTCTGTGAACATTTGTTATATGAGAAATAAATTTCCACTGCCATACATAATTAACATTCAGTTTGTGATACCATCAATGATTTGGGAGAAAGTTGAAAGTTTTTAGTTAAATTAATTTCTTAATTTCATCATTTGTCAGATGATGGCAATGAAATTCTCTATTTCACTGTTAAGATTTGGGAACATTTCCTATGCTTTCCACTTGAATCTAGTATACAAATGCCTTCTTATATTTGGCATGTATGTGATGACTTATACTACAAATTATCACATACATTCCAAATGTAATAAGCTTTTTGCTAAGTTGGTTTAATTCAGGATCATGTTCATTAGCTATTAATTTCTTTTAGTAACCTTTAATACTTTGTAGGTCCTTGTAGAATGTAAGGAATAGAGGATGTTCCCAGGAAACTGACTATTTGCTTTATTTTATAGACTCTAAGTTGCTTTGAGAGCATGCTTTCGTGGTCTTACTAGACCATATCCGTGGAGGGTAATGACATAACTGCCTCATAACTGTCATCTGGTGACAACAATTATAAGACACCATCGAGTCTCAGAGGCATCTCAATTTTAGAGAAGTTAAATTATGAATAAGTGTTTATTTTGGAATTGTTGAAATAGATTTTTTGAAGTCACTAACAGTTTTTTTTTTTTTTTTCTTTCTCTCTCTTCTTTTTTTAAAGATGAGGTCTTACTATGTTGCCCAGGCTGGTCTTAAACTCCTGGGCTAAAGCAATTCTCCTGCCTCCCCCTCCTGGGTAGCTAGGATTGCAGGCACACATCATTGTACTAACAGGATTGGTACTAACAGGATTTAACACATTGACTGCCACACTAGAAAAAAATTTTTTTTCCCTGGGGCCACAGTATTTTATTAAACAAAATGATCCTTTCTAATTTGTTACTTTTTTATTGTTTTCTGGGCATGAGTTATATGCAACACAATCCACGGTTTTAGAATTAAATTGTCAATATTAATTGTAACAATAAGAACATCAATAAGTAAGATTTTCACAAACCAGCTGCAGGGTTTTGCTTCATAAGGCCCAGGCTCAAAACTAGCATGATTTAAATACAAAGCACATGGCAGTTAATGTGTTAAAAGAGATGGCTATGATAATCTTTATTTTTTTTTTTAAACTTGATAATAGCTGTATTTAATGGGAAAGAATGGAGCTGGAGCCCATTCTACTGAGCAAAGTATTATAAGAATGGAAAAACAGGCTATGATAATCTTGTGTTCTAATTTTCTATGATTAGACCAATGTTGCACACTGAGAATTTTTTATTTGATTGTTTTGGGTTCGCAGTTTTTTTCTTTACTTCAGATACTACTCAGTGTTCCATTCCGAGATTCCTGCAACAGAATTTACAGCCATCCTAGAGATCATTAGAATTATGTCATCTATCTTAAAAGATCATTAACTTTCACTATCTAGACTGGGAATGATGTCTTGGCTTACTGGCTTTGAGCAAAGAGTATTGGCAATTCTTTTTCTTTATGTACAATCATATTTAGACTGGAGTTGTGTCCATTTATTCACAATATCCATTATGAAAAAAATTATGGTAAAATATAATGAGATATATCTACATTTGCTTGATTAAACAAGAATATTTAATTATATCCTTCCCATACCGTGCACCACTACTAGTTCCTCACTGTATATTCCACTAGCACAGTTCTAATGATGATATTTCTTCGTTCCCAATCCTCTTAGAACTTGGGAATAGAAAGGAAGGGATGATGTAGGGATGGCAACCATTATTGTTGTATATTATACCCTCGATATGGTTTGATTTTAATTTCCATGTGTATTTATTGTTTTTATAAGAAATAAGTACATCTTTCAACAATGTAACTCCATATTGCTCCATATACAAAATAAAGTATATGGCATTTGAAATTTTTATGGTTCTTTCTAAACTTCCTTTGGGTTCTTATCTCCAACTAAAAATCATCCTTCACTCTAGCTGTATTGGTCTCTTTGTCTCAAATCCTCTGCATTCTCAGAACTTTGTTTAAATTTCTCCCTTTGTGTTTGTTACCTGTGATTTAAGGCTAAGCCCAAATCCTATCTATTCAAACTTTTACAGATTCCTTCATGGCAAGCACCTTTTACTTTACTACTTTCCAATGATAAATGTCTCTGTTATACCTGTTTTCCGAAGCTACCTTTTGTTAGGGTTATTTATATGTAAGATTTTCCTGTTAGATTTTGGTACTGAATCATTTAATATGTATTCTCTCTTGTGGTGCGTAGTATAGACATGCAGTGAGTGCTTTTTGAATTGAAGCACTCTTATAAATTTTTAGATATATACATTATTTCTTTTACTTCTTTTCCGGAGACACTGTATATAGTACAATTGCCCCTTGGACAAAGTGGGGCTTAGGTGCACCAACCCCCTGCACAGTCAAAAAATCCATAGAAAATTTTCAGTTCCCCCATAACTTAACTAATAGCCTACTGTTGACCTGAAAGCTTACTGGTAACATACAGTTAATTAACATATAGCTTGTATGTTATGTGTATTTTATACTGTATTCTTACAATTAAGTAAGCTGGAGAAAAGAAAATATTATTAAGAAAATTCAAAGAAATAGAAAATGTGTTGACTATTCATTAAGTGAAAGTGGATCATCATAAAGATCTTCATCTTTGCTATCTTTATGTTGAGTAGGCTGAGGAAGAGGAGGAGTCGATCTTGCTGTCTGAAGGGTGGCAGAGGCTGAGGAGATGAAGGAGGTGGAAGGGGAGGCAGACGCAGGCACACTTGGTGTAACTTTTATTGAAAAAAAAAACAACTGCATATAAGTGGACCTGCACAGTTCAAACCCATTTTGTTCAAGGGGCAACTGTGTAATTTCATTGGAGTTTCTAAATGCATTCCAGTTTTCCTTCTCCTCATTTTATCTATCATTTTCTGAAATATAAAATTATTCTTTTGCTTGTTACTATTTCATAGAGTAAAAGATAATAATTACATAAATATTTTTTCACAATATTATATCCTTCCATGTAGTAGATATTATATGTATCAATATTGATATCATATTTAGTATATACTTTATTAATTATTCAGCCTTACATTTAAGGAAGAATATTTTATAAATGGTGCTTATTTTTCTTTGTAGGTTACTTCCTCAGAATGTTGGCCTTCTGTATGTCGGAGGTTATGAAAGACCCTTTGCACAAATCAAGGTAGGATTGTTCTTTTTTAGTGTACTTTTCTTGATGTTCACTTGTTCAGAACCCATCAAAAACTTGCTAATAGCCATCAACGTATCAAAAATATTGTGAATGCAAATAATTTCATTGGCTTTTCCATATTTCTGCTGATAAGTCATTCAGCTTTTCAAAAGAATTGATTATTTTAATATTCTTGCACATGGTAGAGTTGACTTTGACCAAAACAATTCAGAGCTGCATGGATTAATCTTTCAGATCATCCATTTGCCATGAAAAAATTTTAACTGCTTTATTGAGATATAATTGCCATATGATGATAAACTGTGCATATTTAACTGTGCAGTTCAGCACATTTTGACATGCTTACCCTTGTGAAACTATCACAATCAAAATAATGAACATATCCATCACCTCAAAAAGTTTCCTTGTGCCCCTTTGAAATTTCTCCTTTCTTTTCTTTCTTTTTTCCTTCCAGTTCCTAGGCAACCACTAATCTGATTTGTATCATTATAGATTAATTTACATTTTCTAGAATTTTATATAAATGGAATCATTTAGTATACATTCTCTATTTTTACCTCTTTTACTTGCATAATTATTTTGAGATTCATCAGTGTTGTTGGACTTATCACCAGTTTATTCTTTTTTATTGACAAGTAGTATTTCATTATATGGCTAAAGTTTGTTCATCCTTTCATCTGCTGATGGACATTTGGGTTTTCTGATTTTGATCTATTCCAAATAAAGTTGCTGTGAACGTTTGTATACAAATTTTGTATGGACATAGTGCTTTTCTTTCTCTTGAATAAATATCTAAGAGGGGAACAGCTGGGTCAAATGGTAGTTGTATGTTTAACTTTTTGAGAAACTACCAAACTATTTTCCAAATTGGTGGTTCTGTGTTACATTCTCACAGCAGGGTATGAGAGTGCAAGTTGTTCCATATTCCCATCAACATTTGGAATGGTCAGTCTTTTTCAGTTTAGCCATTATCCAATATATGTAAGTGATATTTCATTGTGGTTTCAATTTACATTTCCATAATGACTGAGCATCTTTTCATGTGCTCATTTGCCATTTGAACTTCTCTAGTGAAATGTATGTCAAATCTTGGCATTTTTCAAGTTTTTGTTTTTCTCTTGAGTTTTGAGCATTTTTTACATTTTCTGAATGTAAGTCCTTTATTAGCTATGTGATTCGCAAATACTTTCTCCCAGCTATGGCTTGTTTTTTCATTCTTTTTAACAGCATCCTCAAAAAGCAGATATTCTTAATATTGATAAAGTTCATTTCATTATTTTTTCTTTCATGGCTCATGCTTTTGATGCTGTGTCTAAGAAATATTTGCCTAACCCACATCACAGATTTTTCTCTTATGCATTCTTCTAGAAGTTGTATAATTTTAGGTTTTACATTTAGGTTTATTATCCACTTGAGTTAATTTTTGTATAAGTTATGGATTCCTTCCTTCCTTCTTCCTTCCTTCCTTCCTTCCTTCCTTCTTTCCTTCCTCCTTCCTTCTCCTCCTTCTTCTTCCTTCCTCCCTCCCTCCTCCTCCCTCCCTCCCCCCTCCCTCCCTCCCTCCTCCCTCCCTCCCTTCTCTTCCTCCCTCCCTCCCCTTCCCTTGCCCTCCCCTCCCCTCTCCCCCTCCTTTCCCTCTCCCTTTCCCCCTCCCTCTCCCATGTAGTTATCCAGTTATTTCAAAACCATTTTTGAAAAGTGTTAAAGACTTCACATCTTTGTTGAAAATCACTTGATCTCACATATTTGTGAATCATATTTCTAGACTCTTCTGTTCTATCAACCTGTGTCTGTTCCTCCACCAATTCCATACTACATTGGTTACTATAGCTTTATATAAATCACAAAGTCAAGTACTATAAACCCTCTAACTTAAGGTTTTTTTCTAAGTTGTTTTGGCTAATTTAGGTTCCTTTTGTTTCCATATGAATTTTTATAATCATCTTGTCAGATTCCATAAAAATGCCTGTTGGGATTTTGGTTGGGATCATGTTGAATCTATAAATTTGAGGAGAATTGAAATCTTAATAATAATGAATATTATGAAGACCACATCTCTCTCCATTTATTTAGGCCTTTAATGTCTCTCACAAATATTTTGTTATTTTGAGTATATTGATGTTATACATTTCTAACATAGATTTATCTGAAAATATGGCATATTTTGATGGTATTGTAAAAGTATTTTATATCAATTTCTGATTGTTCAGTGCTAGTATGTAAAATGCTGATTTTTTTATGTTGACTTTAATTCCTATAATCATATTATACCCAATTATTAGTTCTAGTAGCTTTTTTGTAGAATTCATAGCATATTCTACATAAATGATTATGTCATCTACTAATGAAGACACTTTTCCTTTCTTTCTAATCTGGAGCTTTTTCTTGCTTTTTTGTTATTACACTGGCTGAAGCGTATGGTATAGAGTTGAATAGACATGGTGAGAAGAGACATCCTTGTTTTGTTGTTAATCTTAGAGGGAAAGCATTTAATCTTTTATAAGAAATTGTTTTTGTAGTAATATTAGTTGAGGATTGATTAATTGATTCCAGCTAGGCTTTCTTCTAAGAAATGAAAGAATATTATTAATATTCAAGCCAGTTAATATAAAAGGAAAGATTTGAGACCATGATTTTTCTTTGTTTTTATAACTTTGTATTTTCTGAGAGGCCTGTAAAACTTGTTTTGTAGTGTTTTGTTGTTGTTTAGTTTTCTGATTTTCTTCACGTTTGTTTCTTGCTTCCATGAGTTATTTTTCTTCTGTTCATTTGAGAGTTGTGCGTTTAAACTCCTTTCCATTTGCATGTATGACATTTTTATGGTTCGAAAAACAGGGATTTTTCAGGGTAGACTGAGGCTGAGTAGGACATACTAGATACTTAATACTGAGGATGTTCAGTCACAATATCAACATTTTTAAATGAAAAATCTTATCTTAGTTACCATAGCATCAGCACCTCTTTAAATACCTGTGAATAATAAATTAGATTTAATTAAACCTAAATCTTAAACAGTTTGAAAAGTCCATCATTAGGATCTTAAGTTATGGACCCTCTTGAACTTTTCTAGTTGCTTAAATAATGACAAGTGTTTAGGTACATTTTTTTCCTTCACTTTTAATATCCCTGAAACATGAGTGGAGATGGGAAGATTCTCTTCATAAACCTCCCTCACCGTCCTGTTCACTGATTCTGTTCAGCAGTATAGCCAGGAATCCTAATAGGTTTCAACAGGAATGTATCTGACAGCCCAATTTTTTTCTGTCCATTGGTTTGGAAAATCCTGTTTCTCCTTATTAGAACTGAAATAACTAAAAAGAAGGAGGCTTATCTGATATATTTAGGGAAGGATAGAATTATTTTGCATATGAGTTTCATGATGTCTCAAAAGCATAGTCTCAGTGTACACATGAAGGTAATTGCTCAATCACTCACATGATTCATTAACATAACATTTTCTTTACCTGAGCATTTCCTAACGAGCTCAGTGACAGAGGTCAATTATTTGTCAATCCTTTATGCCTGCATAATCAACTCTATAGAAAAAAGTTCATTATTTTAGGTGCCTTTTTCTTTTGATGATGATGTGGGAAAGGTTTCTGTCAGTCACCATGAAGGTATTTCTTATCCTTATTAAATTGTTGAAGTTCTTTCATAATTCCTATGGCTCTACCTAAGTAGATCCCTACCTAATTATAAGCTAATTAGAGAACGATTAAAAAAAAGCCACTATTGTTTAAATGCTTGTGATTCAGCTGGAAATTTAAGGTTCATTTCCTACCTTGGCTTGTATCTGACTTCTTATGAATCAAAATACCAGTATTTGCTATGTTCATTTTTCTCCCATTAAACTAAATGTAATGATAATACATTATATCATAAATATGAGATGTAACCTTTTAAAAATGAAGACTCCTTTGTTTTCCTTAAGAGCATGTTGCTTGTTGATTTTTTAAAATAAATTATGATATGAAATTGTTCACTTGATCATTGAGGAAAAGGAACTCTCATTCATTAATATCACAGGACTTAATAATAAGCTCCTTAGTGTGGATGGCTTGTTGTTAGAGGCTGTTTTTGCTAACGTGGTATTTTAGGATTGTGTTTCTAAAAAGGAACTCCATTTCACAAAGGTGAGAAAAACTAAAACATAACAAAGATAATAGATATTTAGACAATGAATTAAACAATGAATTCATAAAATTGCTATAGCATGCTAATAGATATCTGCACCATTAGTATATAGCATGAGTCATTACAACCATTCTTGCAGCTGAACACACACACACTCCTCCATTATTTATCCATCTTTTAGATTTCTATCCAAGTCCTAAATAAGGACAGAAATATGTATAAATTTGGGACTTCAGCATACTCTTTGACTGGTGCATTTTCATGCTATTTTCATGTTTCATTGTTGTTAGTGGAAGTTATTCCAACTTTTATGTCTTAAAATCTTTGATAAGTTATAGGGAAGGTTCTTTTTTCAAGTAAGCTCAGTCTTCTTATATATAACTTTCACCAAATGCAGTGACTATATTCTCAGATCATTGACCTCTTTCAGAATCCTATGAAAGCTGTATAAACACACACACACACAGACACACACACTTTTGCATATAATTTCGGAGGTTTCAGGAAGCCCACTGAAGTGCATTCAAGAACCCCATATTAAAAACCCTAAAAAGTGAATAATTCAGTCAGAGTGAATTTACTTTAAAAAACAAACAGAAAAAGTGAATAAAATATGTTTTCCAAGGTTTTTCATTTAACCAGAAAGACACTGAACATATAAAACATATAAACATATAATATATAAAAAGTTATTTTCAGGGAAAATTTCTTATTTGAACAACTTGATTTTAAACATGCATGATTATTTTCTTGTTTTATCCTAAAATATGTAAACTAAATAAAATACTAAATAAACTAAATAAAACACTGATCGTTTTATAATGAGTTGTAATACTGAGTTAGAAAGGAACTGCCTC